TAAAAACATAAATTGCACTATGCGATGATTTGATTTTTTTTCCTCGCGGTTTTCTTGAATAATTAGGAGAAACCGGGGAAAATTTTGAATAACCGCGAATTCGTACTATTTTTTTTTTTCAAATGTTTTGTTTTTTATTATTCAATGACAAATAATCGTAGAGACCAGACATTATTATTGAATATTTATACCAGCACTTTCTAAACGTGATATGATTTTCGAAATTCCTGACGGTTTTTAAATTATTTATAACTGTTTGTAATTTTTGAGTTTTAATTAGTATCGATTTTATGTCGGTAAAATACATACGCACTTAACTTCTTAATAAACGCTCAAAATTCGCCATAAAAGTTACTCATTTTATTGCACTTACTGCATTATAGAAATATCGGAAATGCGTAGTCTGTTTTTTTTTTTTTTTATTATTATTATTTATTCGAGAAACCTTTGAAGATTGCTAATTGATTTGTTGCATTCTTATTTCGTTTCACTCGTTAAATTACTAGATTTTTCGACTTTTGAAAAAAAATAAAGAAAATCGGGCGGGCCTAGACCCGAATATCCAGTATTAAAATTATGTGAATAAAAAAAGCTACGCACAGAATCTAATATCGCAATATTCTAATAAATATCGTTGTAGTTTAATACATACGTGAACGGTAATTTCCGCCCGACCGAGTCGATAATCGTGTACATATATAGTGAACGAGAAACACGCACTGTACATACTACACAATATAATAAATTATAATAATATTATTATTGTTGTTATTATTTTTTTTTTTTTTTTTTATCATATACCGGTCAATCCACATAAAACGAATATTTCGATTTCGTACACCAATGTTTTATATTATTATTTTCAGTCAGTGAACGATTTTTTTTATTTTTTACTCTATTTCCGGCCATCTTCGTGCGTACAGTGCCATAGCGGTACCTATATATGCGACACACGCAGCATTCATCTAAATCCAAATTGCGCATAAATATACAGGGTGCAACATCTCAAAACGGTAATTCGCGATATGACAGCATTTTCGACGATTCTGACGACGATATTCCAACAATAATATTATGCGAATTCAGGAAGAAAATACGGGGCATTTTATTTCTAATGGCAATAAAAACGAAAAACAAAATACGTACACGGATTTGTTCAATGCCAGTGACGGACTATTATAGTCCATAATCCGCCATTAGTTATGCACGGCATGCTGATTTTTACTTAAAATTACTCTTTTTTAATACAAATGACAACCAATACCACTTTGGCCGTTTAGGCAATGCGCCCTTTACTTATGCGCACATGCGCAACTAGACTACCAAACTTTTGGAAGCTAAAAATTAAATGCTTTCTCCATCCCCTAAACACGATACTTATAATAAGCGACACATACTTTATATACAATTATTACATTATATTTATATATATTACATATATTGTACATACAATTGTATCACAACTTTTGTCTTTGTGACATTGTTAATTGTTTTTATATTTTAAATTAAAGATTAATGGTTTAAGGATGCTAAAAACCCCTTAGTATCCCTCTAGTTGCGCCCTTACATATATTCTTATATTTTATAATAAAATATTATGATTAAAATTTAAAAATATGACGTTAAGTTAATACACCAATAGCATATTAGATTGATAAATTGGTTTAGTAAGACTATTTACAAGTAAATCGTAGATGTAAACAGTTGCAAATAAATGCATACCTGCTTTAAGTTCGACTTGTATCAGAGGTGTAGATCTTAATCATACGTTATATATATGTAATGTTAACAATCATTATGACTTGTACAATAATTTAAAAGAAAAATTAATATTTATAGTAATACTTGTAGTTTAACAATAATGGTAATTTTCACTCCCCTATCCTATCACGCCCAATTAATAATATATTAGTCCACGGTTGAATCTTTTTTTTAACTCCGATTGTGAAGATATTGTAATTATCGCCAGTATATGCATTGGTTTTCTCTAGAGATTTGTATGTTATTAATTGCAATACCTAATAACACTGCGATGTGAAACTAGTACAAATTTACGAATTTGAGGGTTGGTCAAATAAAGTTTTCACAGAAAAAATTTTGTTCATAGTCCACCGCTGTACACAATACGAACGAATCCGTATATATCTATAAGCACGAATTAGAATAATACATACGAGATTGACCTCAACAGTGAAATATTTGAACCTTATTTCTTTCGAATTTATTCATATATTTACTGTCATTGGCATTCATCTCCCGTAAAAGAAATCGCAATGATTTGACAAAACCTTGGAATTGAAAAATCTCCCACCACAATGTGCAGAAATCGCACGATTTTTCGGGCTAGTTTAGCAGGTCACTCCAAAGCGATTCAGGAATGTTCCCTGTCACATTTTCATCATACTGGAAAAACGTTTTTTATTATTTTTTTTTTTTTACAACCAACACGCGGATACGATCGGCCGGACGGGATTTATTATTTTCATTGTCGTCACCCGTCATCGTTGATGATTGTTTTTGCTCAGTAGTATAGCTGACAATAGTATAGGTAATATGACTGTAGGTTATACATAGTGGTTGTAAATCCCGATAACAATGTTCGGGTATAGACGCAGTTGTTATGTTATTATTTGAGTCCCGAGAGGATAATAATCGGTCGTCTATACCGCAGCAAGCATAAATTAGCGAAATCGTCGCCACCTCTATTATGCCCGTATATAATTATTACGAGTACAAAAAAAATTAAAAATCCAAAGAAACTTAGACATTACACTCAACTTTTTTTTTTATCATCACTTATTTAAATTACTTATAATTTATTTCTTACTTTTACTGTATTTTTTCTTTAATATCTTATAATCTTAAAATTATTATGTATATTGTAACTACTTTTAAACAAGTACTACGTCCGTAAATTTCTATATAAATAAATAAATAAATAATGAATAATGTTAAATGTTCAATGCTCTGCTCAGTCAAAACAATCCATATAAAACCAAATAAAAATAAAACAAACAAACCAACTAGAAAATGTAAACTTATGCCTATACACTTGTTTTTAGATAAAAAATATTTTGAAAATTTGACCACACATAGAAGAGACTAGCAAAAGTATTCTGAGAAAATAGCAGGTCCTTATGATTATTTTTAATCGATCTACAATCAAATTTCAAAATTGGAAAAATATCATTCTTAACACACCGGCACGATAACATTCTCTTCCATAAAACATACTTCTCTTGAAAATCGGAGAAAGCTTTTGGTAAACAATTTTTTTACAGACAGTAAAAAAAAAAAAATTAACAATACAGTGATAATATTTGCAAATATGTTGGTTATCACGAATTTTTCAGCAAATTCTGAAATTCAAACGCTCACGAAAAAAAAATAAAACAATTTAACCTCGTATAAAGTTTCTCAGCGTTTATATGAAAGCAGAAACTTGTATAAATATAATATAAAACCAAAAAACTCTGAAAATTTAAACTAGCTATAAAATATTATATATACAATATGAAATATATTATTCAAAAAGTGCCATGGTATTTTGATATTGTACCAATGAGACATCGGAAAACGGCAAAGTAACCGATTTAAAAATAGGAATTTCATGATAGTATTATAAAATATAATTTACACGCGCATTTGATTCTGTATACCCGTTTAAAAATAAATAAATTAATGTACACTGTACGGTTAAGGTAGGTATACGGGTCAAACGGATTTCCGCGAATATTAATTTATGAGCTTTCCACGTGCCGGACCGATTCTATGTTAAAATAATAATTTGTATGTAATTTGTTCAATACCCGGGTAATATTTTGTAATCATATATTATAGCGCGCATAAACAACACTTGGTAGAAATTTTAATGAGGTTGCGAAAATCATCATGATTTACAAACCCGTGACTTTGCCTTTCCCCTCCCTCTACCGCACCCCATTAAGTATCTAACTAACATTTTGTTACTGCTAACTCAAAAAGAGTATGAATGTTTTGTCATATTATATAATTGTATGCTGCCTTATCAGTTATATCGAATTAAATTTACATTATATCCATATTCTACATCATCTGGTCGAATTTCTAATGGAGAATTTGCTCCTAACAATATCCTTACGGGTGTTCAAGGTCATATCAGTTGTCTGTGGGTACGAAATAATACTTCTGCCCTCTCAGAAGTATCCTCGACGGCGAAACTGCACCCTCATGGCTAACCCGCCCCCCTAAATGTCACCATTAACATAGTGTGTTTACAATGTAATTTAGGTTTTTCCATTGAGTGATTATTATATAGGAAACGGAGGACATTTATAAAAAAAATACCCAGCCTGTCGACGTCCATGGCGGCCAATTTGACGACACGAGACCGACAAAACCGACAATATATGTAATAATAATAATAGTAGTAATTTAATACGAGTACCTACCAACCTAGCAACTATACAACAGGCAGTGTTAGCGTGACGGTAATCGCTCGCTGCTAAACAAATCGTCAAAACGTTTATAGCACCATATATACTTATGTACAGGACCGTTTTATTATTTATATAGATGCGTTTTGTTTTAAACTATACAAGCTTATTGTACGAAACTATACAATAACGCTGTCTTCGTTGTGCCATATAATTACTATATTAACAACACAAACGGTCGTCGACATTCAACGCTTTAGTGAAGTTTTTCAACTCCAAAAATTGTATCTAATTGTAACTAAAAACATATAAAATACTATATCTAATAATAATAATAATAATAAGACCGAACAAACCGAGCGTTTTGATATTCAGAAAGGGAACATGACCATAAAACTAAATTTTAAGGAGGCACGAAAAACTACTGATCCAGAACTTGTTGGTCCTTTTTGCATCAAACACTAATTTTAGCGGCTGATTACTATTTCAATAACGGTTTAATGGACTCGCTTTTATATAAATTATTTATTCAATGTAGATATAAATACGCATTCGGTGATACTTAAATTTAGTCAAAAAGTGGACATGTTCAAATTCTTCAATATTAGTGATTCATATGGATTTGAAGCCGCAGGTAAATCTGTGTACCCTCAATATTATTTATCGTAGTCACAGAAAATTGGTGAAAAGAAATATTAGGGTTTGTATATCTATAGTTATAACCAAAGAACTATTCAGCGGTTCAGTCGTTGTAAAATTATGCATCGGAAAGAAAATCCACCGCTATGAGAAGCCTTTGAACGAACGAAAATGGAAGGAAAAGGCCACAAAAGGTCACGTGACTGGCACAGAAAGTATAAAAAATAAGAAAGCATAGTGGCAGACTTGGGTAAAATATTTTTTTTTTTTAATATTCTAATAATACATACAAAAAATATAATTTTGAATACTTTACAACAATAGTGTTTACAAAATACTAAGTAAATTAAAAATACAATCTATAAAAGCTAATCTGCTTACGGATGTGCTAATGTTTTACATGGAAACTAACTAAAAATACGTATTTCCCGAAAAAAAAAAAGAGAAATAAAGTGTGAATTGCTGGAAATTTTGAAAATATTTTTAATAAAATACCGCCGAATGTAAATTCCGAATAGTCATGCATTAAGGGTCTTTTTTCCTAATCGAAAAGTGTTTTCCAAGAAAAAAAATGGACGCATCACTTATAATGAAACATTAAATTCTAAAAAGAATGTAACACAAATAATTTTTTAAGGAATAAAATACTTTTTAAAACTATTCGGAATACAGTATAGGGAGAATGTTTTCGATAGAAAGGAATTTTCATAATATTCATAATAGTTAAAAAATATTCTGTAATATTAATTGTATTAGAATCAGTTTGTTTTAAACACGGTTGTTAAACAGAATCGATGGTTATATTTTAACATTTTTTACAAACGCGCAGTAACAGGAAAAACACGTAATTTCGTTTACACGCCAGTTTATTTAGTCATAGTAAATTGTAAGGAAGTTGTGTACGGCACATAGTTGGCGTTAATGCACTGATACTGTATGATCAGTTGAAACTCTTCGAGAGTATAATAATATTATTGTTGGAAAAATCTAGATTATAAAGTATCTAGATAACGATTAATTGTCTAAATATAAAATATATATTAAATTATCTCTATAATAATGAATGATAATAATTATGATATAATATGATGTACATAATCGGCAAAGTTTATTTAACGGCAAAAAAATTTAAAAAATTTACTCAGGGTGTTATAATCTAAAAGGATCGGCTATTATAATATATATATATAAAAAAAAAAAAAATAAAAATACTTTAGGGGACTGTGTAATTAATCGTGAAGGCCGCCTGCGCAAAGATTACGCGATATTAAAAATTAGGTATATTATGCCATTGATTTTATCGAACTTCCAGTGGAACGAAAATCTTTCGGTTGGAGGGGCAAGAGGGAATGACGTATTGAGTTTGCCGCGGCGGCGAAAGAAATTGAAATATCGTCGACCGGCGACGACGTGGTAAAACGATTTTTAATTTCCACGGATAAAAAGGCCAACGCCAAATACTTAAACGTCTGCGATAACACCACACTGTTACCTACCACTACTTATCCGAATGAAATTCGATGATTCCGGGTATGGGTTGACGGGTTTTTTTTTTATTCAGAACACGTCTAAGTAAGCCGCACAGTAATTAATCACTATAATATAACAATTGGTACACGAAAGCGTCGTAATCGGAGCTTTTAACGGTCCCGCGCTAATTTCTCGGGTCTTGAATTTAATTTAATTTTTCTTTTTTTTTTCTCTCGACCGTGACGTTTTTCAAACTACAACGTTGGCTTGGTCAGACGATATAGATCAAAAGCAAAACCCGAGCTTAAATATTATGGCCGGACGACGGCGACAAACGAGACGCTCTAGAAAAACTACTCGCGGAAAGAAGTTCAGATTTGGTCCGGACGACTGGATCGAACTGTGCAGATCAAATGGTCGCAGCAAAAAGTCGACATTTGTCAAAGCTATAGACACTGAGACTGCGTCATTGGTCTTCGGTTTTTTAACCGAGGTCGTTATATAGCCTATAAATAATTTAAATTACAGATTTTAACATAGAAAATATAAAATAATTCGTTGAAATTTAAAATGATAAAACCATACGCCGCAGCCGTCAATTTATAGAATATTTGTCAGTTTTCTTTTCCAGTTTTTTCACAATTATTATGAAAACTACAGGGAAAATTAAAAAATGAATAACTTACTCACTAACAAGATCTAAAATTTCAAAAAAAGGTCTCTTGTCATTTTATGAATAAGCAAAATTTCTAATAGAAAAAAAATTGGTTATAATTAAAAACAATGAAATCAGTAACGCCACGATGTGCTACAAATATTTATCCGATTTAGATTGGATTTAGGTGGAGCGAAAAAGCTTTTATAAAGCTGTCTAATTTTTTTTCGTTTCTATCTGTACGCAACTTTTCTACCAGAAATTTCGCTCTAATTTTTAAGTGTAGCACTTTTCTTAAGAGGAAATCGGCGTGTGGATATACTTTAAACAGGTAATTTTTCGATTTTCTCAAGAGTTTCTTATCAAATTTGAAAAACAAAAAAAAACACGGATGAAAAACGAAAAAATACAGTGTGTCCATGGATTTTTCTAGCGCTATTTATTAAATTGTTTTTGATTTTTTTTTTTTTTTCAATCAGTTTGTCTTCGAAGGGTAATATTGTCAGGCGTCTAAAAATCGTCTTCCGAATAAGGCTACCAATCCTTTTCCGGAGTCCGTTTGGAAATTCAACAGTAGTTATCCATTATTATAATTAGGGCTGTGAATTAAATTCAGTAAAAAACCATAGAAATTAAATAAAAAAACGAGTTTTGCAAAGTCTATGTAAGCATGTTTTTACTGTATTGTGTGTTTGTAAAACGGAAATAACAATTGCATGTGTTTATTTAATAGTTATTGAACATATTTTTCCAATAACACAAGTATTAATTTATCGTTTAAATTATTAAAATTCAACATAATTATCTAATATTTATTAATTATTTACCGTTAATGCGGTTTTATTGTTTTTCAAATGCGATTGTATATTTATTTACTTAGATACTGTTAAAATCATCGGATTCGGTATTTCAGAGGAAGCGAGGCGACTATACGTGTAAGTCGATACGGAGTCTATCAGCGGCGCAGCTGGGGTTCGATTCCTAGTCCTGAATTAATTTTTTACCATATTTTTACGCATTAAACATTACTCACATAAAGAAATATATTTATTTTAACATATCATTGCCTTGATAACAGCTAACAATATAATATACTATTTATAAGATATAAGGTATATTACCGTAGGCAAACTGCTAAATTGGATTCCTTCAATAATAATTTTAACAATATACCCATTAAAAAGCAAACTAATAAAATTAGTATTTCTATAGGGCTAGATGACAAAGCCCTACCTATTTTTCAATCGACAATCCCCTCTTTCATAATTATATAATATTGGCTTATTATTAATATCCATCCGTAATTTAAATTTACGCACCAGGAATCTTGTTCTTTTTGTCAATGCGATTATAGACTCCCTCACGCAAAGCTCAACGCTCATGCCCCTTAAATATATATTTTTATAAAATACACATATTCCATGTCATTGGGAAAATCATAATCGTAAATTGAATAAAAAATAACTGATACTGTTGACGGTTGGCCCAATTTTGCAGATGGAAAGGTAGGGTGAATTATATAAAAGAGTTGATTTATTAATATCTTAAAATAAATCATTGCTAACGAAAAAAGATTCTTAGGTAATAATATGTACACAGTTCAATATTAAAACAAAATATTAAAACTTTTTTTTTCCTGTAAATAACTTTTCTATCAGCAGTTTTACTCATATTTTCAAGTGTAGCAAGTTTTCTAAAAAGAAATCCGACTAGGGAGTAAAACCGGGAAAATAAAAGAAATGTACTTACTAGTTAAAATATATTAAGATTTTTTTTTTGTCTGTAAACAACTTCTCTACCAGCAATGTTGCTCCAATTTATAATAATAGTAATAATTCTAAAAGGAAATCTTACTTGGAAGGTACTTTAAGGCGGTCATTTTTTGGTTTTCTGAGGAGTATTCTCATTAAATTTGAAAAACCGGGATAACATAGGAAAACAAGGAAAAAAGTGAGAAAACTGGAAAATCGGTACAACATTAAATAAATATTATTAAAGAAAATATAGAAAGCTTATTTAGTTATTTTAATATTCAATGACATATATATATTGTTGTCGAAGCATCACTATCAACTTGCCTCTGCTCAGAATCATTTTTTCGTAAGCAATGGTTTATCGTTACTTACAGGTACGTATTTAATTACCTAAACAGTGGCTACATCGTCCACATTATCCTGTCATATTTTCCCCAATTATATTGAAAACCTTTTACAAAATTTAAAAATGACTTCTTTTGCAGTACAATCATCGTATTATGAATTATTAATTAGTATTCAGTTATGAATCATTGTTTTATAAAGAATATTTTTGTTGTACAAAATACCTAGGCGAAGAAAAATTCGACTCTATTGTGACGGCGCTCCGCTACACTCGAGTGGTTATTTTTATTATGTTTTATCCCGAATAAATTACATTAAAATAAGTGTTTTTTCTCCGATTTGTGCGAACACGTTTTTGAACGAAATTCACGATGACATTACGATAAATAAATACTCGTGAATTTGAATATTTTCCGGTCAATAAATTTTCAATTTTCCAAAACGATACACGTTTTGGTCGGTTTAACCACGAATATTACAGTATCAATCATTTTATTTATTTAGTTTAGATTCTGAATGGTGAGAAAAAGCTTATGGTTTTACAAAGATGTTTATTTTATTTTCTGTGGACAACTTTTCTACTAGTAATTTTTCTCCAACTTATAATGATAGCGATTTTTCTAATAGGAAATTTCACTGAGGAAGTACTTTAAAGAAGTCGTATTTTGATTTTCTCCGGAGTTTTTTTTAGCAAATGTGAAAAACTGGTGAAAACATAAGAAAACCGGGAAAAACGTAAGAATACCGAGGAAATCAGTACAACATTAAACAAATACTATTAAAGAAAATATATAGAACCTATTTAATTATTTTAATATAATATGGCATGTATGTTGTTGACAAATTATCACTATTAATTGAACTACGCTCAGAATCGTTTTTTCGTAAGCAATGGTTTATCGTTGCTTACAGGTATACAATAAATATCACCAACAACAGTGGCAGCACCTGTACCAATAATCCTAAGACTTATTTTTATTTTTTTATTAAACATTTGTCCATCGCTTTCAAACG